ACACGCAGGGCGAACGTTGTGTTCGTAACTGATAAATGCCACATTTAGCTGGAAGCAGGTATACCGTTACCGTCGCCCAACATGCTCAAGCGAAAGATTCTAATCAAGAACAAGCGTTTGAATCTGGACATCGAGCATCAGCAACTGGAACAGTTTCTGAAGGAGGGCCGTGTCGACGAGGATATGGACGAAGACGTTGAAACGCCGGACGTCGGCGACCTGACCCTTGACGGTACTTGGCCGTTTTTCGCCATCAGTTCGCTGCATGCTTTATGCGCTGTGGCACGACTGTCTCACACTGTTGCATGTTTGTCGCTTCTGGTTTAAGATGTGATTAGAAAGCATGCGATGGTCGGTCACAACGACGGGCGGTATCGAAAAGACGCACCGCGATCGCTTGCCGACTCGTTCGCTTCCGAAGGTAAATTCGCTTATTTAAGTTTTAATTAATTTGGCGACCACTGAGCTTGCGTTTTGAACAGTTGGGGAGTTGAACGGATTTTTATAGCACGTGCGGTACGATTCCAATCCACACTTTTCTTTACATTACTCCCACCTCTCTTGTTGATCTGTAATATTTGATAATTTTTCATGAAGTCGTTAAGTGTAATTATTTATGTACATTATCTCGAACGTTTCGCAGTCATACTCGATTCATCTTCTCAGAGAGACAATAAACAGCAGAGTATTACAGTATGATTTGGTAATCCTCAGCCTCGATAGTAGAAACTGCTTCATAATTACAATTCGAAATTAATCTCTTACCAGCGTCCTTGTTTGTGTGTTATTTAGATTGTATTTGATCAAGAGGTCACAGAGTCATTCTTCTACTTCATGTTCCACGTAACTAAACTGGTTTCACGTAGCTTCTTGACCAATTGCAGAACTTTATCAATCGAATCAAAGGCGAAGAGCGTTTAGCAGCCGTGGAACCTGCAGTACACTGCACATTATGCGACCAAATGAAAGGAATACATCGATAGAGATGTTTCTTAAGTCAGAATATTGAGAAAGACCTGGTATTTCAATCGAACCAATTCTTAAATGTGGAGAAGTTGGTATGCAACTAAGTTCTAGTTGAAACGATACACTGAAGCAGTTTCCACTTTCGAAGCTGACACCTGTACCCACTGTATTTTGTACCTGGCGAATACCGTAACATCAAGTCTTATAGTATGTCGCTCGCTGAAGATGGATCGAGTATAATCCGAAAGGTTGGAAAAAATATACGTTGCAAATTCGATGTGCGGTGTCATCTCATATCGACGCTTTTCAATTCTAGCCTATTTTGTCACTTGAAAGAGTGCACTTTCGTTTTTAGCGTATATCTTCTTATGCATTCGTATGTTTGTTTTTGCTCTTTCAGTCCTTTATGGCGAGTTTTTGTCTACTGAAACCGAGATGTTAGATTAAAGTGAAAACATTTTTCACCACAGCCATTAATTACTTTTCGCTGGCATGCATTACTATAGTATTATTAAGTACTTTTGAAGAAATTTTAATCGTTTAATTGTGATTTCGTGCTCTTTAGAAGTGTGGCATGCATCCTTCTCTTTTCTCTACTTTGTGCCCCCATCGTTGGTCGTCCATCGTTCTTTAGACCGCATGTAGTTTTAAATAGAAGTATATATACAAGGTCAGTGAAGGTTTTCCTGAGAAACACAGGGTTTCCATTGTATCGTTGCTCGACAGATTCTGTAATCTCGCAGACTAGTACAGTACTGTCTGCCTTGATCTTCTTCCTGTCGTTCATATAGACAGCATTCTCTCTTTTTGGTTGGCCGCAAATGTCTTGACTTTTTTTGTCTGGTTACTGATCGCGTCCGGTGATTTTCTTAGCAGTTTTACGTGTTTTTCTCCTGTTTTCGTGACTTTGCTGTTTTCCTGTTCCTTTTCTGTTCAGTAATTTAGCAGTCCTTTTGGATTGCCACCTTTGCCAATCGTGGACGTTGTCTCCCTAACCTTCTTCCTGCACAGCAGTTTGGAGAAGTAGAGTGACTACTTTGTCAGGATTTGATCAGGGACATACACTATTAGCCAATGATGGCCAGTGTCGCAGTGGCATCCTACCGTGACGGGCTGTTGCACCAATTCGAAACGCTCACCAGCGCAGGTAAAACTGGTGAATGAAGAAAATGCTAAAATGGTGACGAGCAGAACATCTTTCGTTAGTCACTTTCTGTTGGATTGATTGTACATATGCTCACCTGTTCCAAGCAAAAGCTGGGTCATATTCGTACACAGTGGACAAAACGTACGAATACACGAAACCTGTTTTACTCAGGACTGTCGAGTGCAGAACATGTCTTGCCATGTGCTGTAATGAATTTGTTTCGCTGCCAGTATAGTCTCGACTTTCATGGAGCGTTTTTGTCGATTACCTATAATATGCTGTTAGCAGTGTGACAAGGACGGATAATTTTGTCATTATTTGGTCAGAAAAGCCTAAGTGAGGAGTTTGGATTAGTCGCGTAATGCGGTGATGCGTACAAATGAGAACCGAGCCACGCACAACGCTTGCATGTATTTTTAATGACTACCGTCCTTCGCCTGAATGTGCACGGAAGTTCGTTGTCATCGTGTTGCCAAGAATGTGCATTCCGTATCGACATGATTCGTTTTATTTCAGGCGACCACGCTTTTTCCAGCGTTCCAGATAACGAAGCGCATCCGGAGTTAAAAATCACGCAGACCATTCCAGAGGCGGTCACTTTCCGTGAAAAACTCAGATCGTTGACCAACATCAAGGGAAAAGAGGTTGGCCTATTTGTGTCTTAATCACTTATATGAAGAAAAAAGCTTTAACTTAATGAATTATATCCCATTTTGTAAGAAGATATGTGATTTACGGCTTTCGTTTAACGTTCATCTAATGAATTTCATAAATGAATGAACTCTGTCAGTTAGCCAGTCAAACTGAGCTGTTTTTGAATCAGAATGACATTAACCGTTAGCTGAGCGGTGGAATGAGGACACGGCATGTCAGGAGACGGCCGCTGCTTGGTGAGTGTATCAACGCAAGAGGGTGATTACACGGTCACGTAAAAATCGCACTACTCTCCAGCCTATTTAACTGCGACATGTTACGGTTCGCGGGACCAACGATATGACCTCAAATGATCGTCATTTTCTGAACTTCATCCACTCCGCTTCTTCTTTGAGCGCAATCCATCCACCATCGTCTGAAATTGTCGTTTCAGGTAGTGTGACAGTGTAGTGTGTCTTACTCTGGTCAAACGATATTAATGAGACGATCTGTCCCTACTCTTCAGAATGATTTTTTTATTATTCGATTATTGCTCAGTATAGTACAGACCTACATACATACAGCAAACGACTGATACATTCATTATCGTTAGCTTTTTTCACTTGACTGCTGAATGAACTCCTCTCTAACACTCTGCCGTAAAATTCTCATAAAATGCAGCAAACCTCTTAAGTTCATGCGGCCATGGATCTCGGTGAGTTTTCTTCTGAAAGGCCGTTTACTTTTCTTTTTCTTTCTTTCTCTCTCTCTTGGGATTCGTTCTAATTTTTTTTTGGTCCGCTGATGATTGGCTCTTTTGGTAATTTGTCCTTCCCATGATGAATTTAACCGTTTCACTCGTACAGCACTGCTAGATTCGACAAATAATTAAGTACCAGTGTTTTGCAATGAAATATGCATACGCAGATGCCACTTTC